GCAAAAGTTTAACCAAGGACCTCAAGCATAAAATATAGGTAAAGGTAATCCATATATAAAAGAACTACTCACTATGAAGCATAAAAGGGATGTATTGGAAGTATTATTCATAAAAAAAAGTTCCTAATCATGACAAATACAACACTTTACAGAAATCTCTATAGAATAAAATGTAGATCAAAATTGTTTTAGAAGAAAATTGTATTGTAATATCACAGGAATAGTTGTGATTTATTGGCCTACATGAATAAAAGGAGAAGTGGGAAATTCATCAATATGTCAAGCTTTCAAACTTTATCAACCACATTAAATTCCAGTAGTTTATTGGAAAAATTAATGATCTATTCTCAAATTTGTTTCAGTTTATATTTGTATTTTCTTTTTGTATTTGTTGCATGTCACTTTATCAATGGCATACAATACAGTAGCAAGAACAGATAATAATGCATCCAAATTCAACGCGTTTTTTTTGGTAATGTTGCTAATGATCATCATCTAAAATTTACAGAAAAATCACTTATGTCATCAAATCAGTAAAGTGAATTTGAAAGTATTTGCAAAGGAAAATGAACATATTGTTTATTTGAGCAAGTGAATTAAGCTACTGCAGGGGCATAAAATAAGAGGCAAATGAAGATTGTTTAATTTTATATCATCAAAAAAGTGGTATATGACAGTAATCTGTATAGCAGTTTGGTGTACAGCTGGAATAGCTGCACAACAATGTTGCATTAAGAATACACTGCAATGTGATTTAGCAACAAAAAAGGGAAAATTGGATCTCCAGCATTAAAATAAACTAGGTTTTTTATTTCTAGCTAAAAAATGAGCACATAGTCCTGAATTTTTTACTTTGCAATTGACTATGTGCTACTGCAGGAGTGTGATACTAAAATTGTAAGAAAATATCAACAGTAGAATTTTTTTCTATATTTCTGTTGTTGAGAAAAATGTCTACGTCTTTTTATTTCAAATAATTGTATAATTTCACAAATATTTCACCACATTCGGTGTTCATCTTAGGACTTTTTTAAAGGCCTGTAAATGAAGGAACACTTTACAAAAAAATGGATGAAATTCAAAGTTGTATAATTTTCTGGTAAAAAAAAGTATTGAAAAATGAAATTTTGTGTTTTAACATAAAACATGCAAATTTCAAACTGAAATATGTCAAAAAGTAAGTCATGAAGGCATATTTTTCTTTACATATTTGGATAGTGCATCAGCAAGAGATCTTTTCTGTAATGTATGCCCTTAAAAGACTCTTGTTTCAAATAATTCGATTAGGCACGACTCCATTTAAACAAAAAATACATGCAAAGCAAGTTAACATTTATAAAATCATTTGTATAATTTTAGGCCACAGTCAAATTGAATACAGCCATTACTGATCATATTGAATTTTATGCTGAAAGTCTGTACGCTAAAGATTTTACTACAGATATCATATGAACTTAACACCTGTCCTAAGTCAGGAATCTGATGTTCAGTAGTTGTCGTTTGTTGATGTGCTTGATAAGTGTTTCTCGTTTCTCGTTTTTTATATAGATTAGACCGTTGGTTTTCTCATTTGAATGGTTTTACACAAGTCATTTTTGGGGCCCTATATAGCTTGCTGTTCGGTGTGAGCCAAGGCTCCCTGTTGAGGACCGTACTTTGACCTATAATGGTTTACTTTTACAAATTGTGACTTGGATGGAGAGTTGTCTCATTGGCACTCATACCACATCTTCTTATATCTATTAACATTAGCAAGATCCATGGAAATAAGGTCAAGGTCATATGAACCCTGCCAGATGGACATGTACACCTTACAATCACTCCATAAACAAAATATATTTGACCTATTGCTTAAAGTATCTGCATGAGGAACAGATGTGCCCATTAAAACTTAGAACATACTGCTTCTGTAGTATCCTGGTGATCTACCTTCTGAAATATAAAGCTTTATGCAAAGAGCTGCTGTTAGTGGATAAGCATACCTAAGTCTCAAATTGGGGGACAACCATAGCACCTGAGACAAAACCCAATTTAAACATATTTGGTATACCTGTAGTGTAACATATAGTGATATGGAGCTATTTCTATTGCTTCAGTCATTCAGATAGGCATTGTTTATTAATTGGTTGATGGTTTTTGGCTGACTGTTAAGTGGCAAATATTTCATGCATCTTCAAATCAGTGCTAGGAGCCATCTGGAATTTGCAGTGATGTGTTAGCCATTGCTATATATCAAAGGCCGAATTGTGATTATAAGATGAAGAACAGCAATCAAACATTGTTCATTTACTTTTGGTTCTGTTAAGTATGTGTTAGGATTTTGTGTCATAAATTACTACATCATATACCTTCTTTTCTGTCAGATCTAAATTCTAGTGTTCTCCATTTATTGAAAATCATTAAATGTATGCAAATAGTGCAATAAACAAAATAATACTCCTGTAAAAAATGCAATCAGTCATAATCAAAATATAACATTACCTTTCAATATTTCATAATATGCCATAACATATTTGAAATATTTATGAAAAATATTGAGTTTCTATTTTGTATGAAACATAATCAATAGTTTTGTTTTTTTCAATTACAAAATTTGGTGAATTTTCCAATAATTATAAGATCCATTCAAAAGCAAAACACAGTTCTCTATAGACAAAGTTCCAACGACCTGTCGTTCAAACATGACAACTGAGAAATTAAGATAAACAAAACTAAAGACAGAAACATGCACATTCCATTTTCTAAATGAATAGGAAATGTGATGCCATTTATAAAAACAGAAAGTGGAGGTTAAGCACACAAAACAGACAAGAATGAAAGAAAATACAATTGAGTTAGATTATCAACAACATACAATTTTTGACCTTATTCCATTTAATATGAATGTGGTCCATATCCAAGATTTCTATAAACAATTCACTTTGTCAATTGAATCCTTTATGTTATTACAATAAAAATAGAACAATGCAAGGGATGTACAGAAAATTTAAAATTACTAGCCTTACTATTTCTTAAAACTTAGCAATTTCATTAGCCTTGCTACATCAACATTTCATATTGAGGTTTGATCCCATATTCATCTATTCCTTAGTTCCTACAGTCTTGGTTAAATTGGTTTTATACAACACATAATAATAAAACTTGTCAATGTTAATTTATACAGACTTTTGTACAACTTGTTTTGCATGAAAATTCAGCAAAAAAGGTAATTTTCAAGTGGTAAAAATGTTCAGATTGATGTATGCAAGTTTTCACATTAAAAAGTGACAGACTCTAATGCATATCAAAATAACTTTTGAATAAGCGACAATCCTCTCTGAGAATGTCCATCATGTTCCATAAGTATATCTTAGTTTTCAGAATTACCAATATCTTCTTTACAAAATAGGTAGTTATTTCATGATAGCTTACTTCAACTCATAAAGATTTTCAATATAACATTTCTTAAAAACTACATCTTAATTCATTTTGAAAACAAAATTCTTCAGTCAAAAGACACCAAATTTATAATTTGCATTTTTGTCATAAATTCAATAAAAAAAAAAGATCTTATATATCAATTTCTTTTTTTCCAGGTAAAAACTTTCAGGAAAACAAAAAATATGTCGGTTACTAAAATAACTTCCAAATATAAATCCTTACTCTATACAACTAGTGAAGCTGGGATAATAAGACATCATTTCCCTCAGCAAGATACTGCCAAAGATTTAAAAATTTTGAACTGAGTTGTTTTATTATCTTGACAAGCCATGTAAATGTTCTGATATGTATTTTTAAAATACAATGTTAAACCATGGGATACTTTTGATTTGGATTACAATATCACTAGTCAATTAGAAAAAAATAAATGTTCACTTTGTTTCCAAATGTCACAGTCTCAGTGGTATGCAAAATGCTAGCATGTACATTGATTCTAGTTGGATGAAAACAAGTTCATCTGTATACAACATTATAAACAAAGATTGATCATTACAGCGATGACCTTTCTTGTTTCATACATTTTCTGTTATATAGCATTTATTTTATTTGTTTTTAAGCTTTTGTGTTTCACCATGTTTTTGTGACTGTATTTTAGCTTTCATTATCTGACCTTAAAGTAAGTTATGTAATTTTTCAGTCAGTTATTTGGCCTTAAAGTGAGTGATGTAATCTTCAGTAGGTAACATTATATTGAGCTAAGTCAGATACCAGGTCTTAAAGTGAGTGATGTAATCTTCAGTAGGTAACATTATATTGAGTTAAGTCAGTTACCTGGTCTTAAAGTGAGTGATGTCATCTTCAGTAGGTAACATTATATTGAGCTAAGTCAGTTACCAGGTCTTAAAGTGAGTGATGTAATCTTCAGTAGGTAACATTATATTGAGCTAAGTCAGTTACCAGGTCTTAAAGTGAGTGATGTAATCTTCAGTAGGTAACATTATATTGAGCTAAGTCAGTTACCTGGTCTTAAAGTGAGTGATGTAATCTTCAGTAGGTAACATTATTTCGAGCTAAGTCACTTACCAGGTCTTAAAGTGAGTGATGTAATCTTCAGTAGGTAACATTATATTGAGCTAAGTCAGTTACCTGGTCTTAGAGTGAGTGATGTAATCTTCAATAGGTAACATTATATTGAGCATCACATTAATCATCCCTATCTTAGGGTATATAAAGTAATCTTCACTAAATTAAGTGAGAAGATGAAGCGTCACATTATTTAAATAACACATAGCTGAGAGGGTGATAGAGCAGATTGTTACCCCTAGAAAACATTGTCAACTGATACAAAGCCAATGACAATGTCTTTTCGAGGGGTGAAATGTAGCTAACATATACTTGATCTCATGTAAATTTAGGTAAGCTTTAAGTTCTTAAGGTTACTACAGTAATCTAAAATAAGGTACCAGGCATAGAAGACACATTTTAATATTATTATTTGGTCTATATGTAAATCAGGTAAGCATAAGTATGATTGTTACCTGGTCTGGAAGTAACTACAGTAATGATTCAGTAAATATTACCTGATCTAGAGGTAAGTAAGGTAAGCTGTCATCTCCATCTTTGATCTCCTGTCCACCAAATATAACATTGTAGGTACTAGTATATACAAGTCTGGTGATTTTATTTTTCATGCATGCTACAAAATACCAAATAAATAAACATTGGTATGATTAGTATCTATGTTTGATTTGTGTATCATTTATAAAGGTCCTTTCAATGCATATTTTTAGTAAAATGCTTAAGAAAAAAGAAAGAGGGAAGATTGGAAGGGGGCCATAAAAAAAAAAAACGGGGGAAAAAAATGGTCATTTAAATTTGTTTAGGCTCCAAAATTAATGGAATTTGAATCTGAACTGATAAAATAAAAGTTATAAGCATAATTCTGTTAAAGCATCTACAACATTCCTGCCAATCTGCAATGTACATGACTTTTGTGTATCTCATTCAGATGATGAGTTCAAAATGTGAAAACCCCCATACTAATAGCTGAAGTCTAAAACAATGAGAAAATACCAGGCGATAATAATTCTGGGTAGACTATACATTCAAAGCATCCAATGAAAAATGTAAAAATAAAATGAGTTCTGGGTACATCAACCCAACAAAAAACCAAATGTTATCTACAGAGGTCAACATATTGTATTTCAGATAAAAATTTTAGAAATTCAAATCAGTTTAATCCACAATGTGGAGACACAAGAGGGATTGGCAAATCCTTGAGCTTCTGTTTTAAGGAATGTCCTATATATTCAACAAAAATTCAGGACAAGTAACTATCAGAGCAATCTGTTCCCAAGCATTAATTCATATGAATACAAAATAGGCTGTTGTTTGGTCTTGATTTATACACAAATAATTACAATGATGTTATAACCTGTTCCTAAAAACTTTGTTATAAACTCACAAAACTATTTTGAAGTGAGCGACAGAAAGAGTCTAAATTTGATTTCAACATTTACTCATATAGCATTAATTTTTGCAGGTTATAAGTTCAACCTTGGATGTCCAATATAATACTTTGTTGTGGAAATTTTAATGGAAGTTATATATTCCACATTTTTTATTCTATATCTCTGGAAATTAGTTTTTCCCCACCTCCATCAAAAAGTTATCAGATCAAATGGAGGATATAACAAGTACACCATCAAACAACAAATACCAGAAACAATAGATCAAAGGGTTATCATCAGAAAGTTTCATACATTACAAAGGTATTACGTAAGATTGCTAAATTTATATCCCAGATAATAAGCTCCTGAGTATTGAAGTGTAATCACTGCTGACTTTCATTGTATTATTGCAGAAATAAAAATAGTATTATTTTGATAATAATCTCATTTCTTTCTCTATGGTGTAGGCTGTATGATATATTTCATACAATTTAATACACTTTTATGCTGTGATTTTATCTTTTTGATAATGTAGCAGTAATATTTTTGAAGAAGTGGTTTTTGCAAGAAATGACTGTACGTTACAATGATAGGAAAATTATGGATATCTATAATGAACGTGACAATTGGTCTCTCCTTTCTTGATCCCTCCTCTTGATTTGTTGCATAATTTTGGTAAATGTAATAATTGCATAGACATTTCATACAATTTCTCTGGTATTTCTGGATATCTTTTAAACCCATCAGTCTCCATTCCATGATATTCTGGAAAATTTCCAGCAGTGTTTTTTTTTCAAAATAATAACATCAAGTGTAAAAAATGAAAAGTTTATGTAACCATAAAAATGAAAAAATTTAAAAAGAAAAATACAGAAACACGACTATTAAGTTATATTTTTGAATATCATAAAGGTCATGAGACTGTTTTAAATTTATCTGCCCATCTAAATATTGCTTAATAGTTTTTACTTGCATGGGAAAAAGCATTTATCTCTCATTCCAGGATGTATTTACACTGGGTAACTTAACTGATGTTTCATTGCATTTATTTTCAATGCTTTGTGATAGACAAGGATGCAAGTAGAAGAAATGCACGTCTGGAGTACTAAATTATAAGCCTGGTATCTTTGATAAGTTTTCCCGATTTTTGATTGGTTCATTACTGGAAAAACATTATAACCAGAATAGTAGGAGAAAAGTCTGCCTTTATAATGAAATACAAATAGGTGCTTCCAAATAACAGGAAACTAATGTGTTTTTGTTATGTAAGGGGAAAGAAATGTCATAATAAGTGTCCATCATACAGACTTGGTTATATTAAAACAACAACATATTTCCTATCAATTACAATTTCTATATTTGGTTCTGTAATTTCCTTTCAAACCCTATGTAAAGTCAACTGATGGTGGATGATACAAGTTCTATAAAATAAAATGAAAATATCATATCAGCCTAAAGGTTATTTGACAACATATAGGGACTTTATGAAAAATATGAGGTATTACCACAAAAATATAATTGCTTTTTGACAAGAAACTGCCATTAAAATTATTAATATTCTGCCTTTAAATTGAAAATGATTACAGCAATTGTGTTTTTGAATGATAAAATTGTATTGTTCTCCCAAGTATATTCTATCAATTGCATTTCATGTCAAGTTTCCTCTACACTTAAGGTATCAGAGTAGATTAACTGTGTTCATAAAACTCCCACATGACATACAGCTGACGAAAACAAATCCCAGAAGATTTTCAATACTTCATACTGGAAAGAAACTGAATACATAGAATGGTATGAGAAGGAAGAGGAACATTTTGATCAAAAACACTAATTGCCCCTGGCAGTGAATGAATAATTTTTGCATTATATTCTTTACAAATGTATTTGATTTCAATGCAACCAAAAGCATACACTTTTCTAGTTTGCTGTTCCACAGAAATTTTATATCCTATATCTATTTTTATGCATATATGTTTACAAAATTTCATCCAAGAGGACAATATTAATTTAATTACATCATCTTGAAAGGAAAAAAGTAAAAAAGTAGTTAATTTAAAACAGTAGTATTATTTTTATAAATATGCATTTTGTAGATCTTGTATACACCTTATCGCTATTTAGTCCAATCCGGGAAAAACAGTTACTTAGACAAATTCCTGTTGAGTCAAGTGGAGAAAAACAAAGGTCATCAGCAATGATCTGAAGGATGAAAAAGATTGGAAAGAGAACATTTTAAAATTTTGATAGTTTAAGAAGCAATTTTTAAAAGACAAATTAAAGTCATTGAAAATGCTTTGTTTGATGTGTTTACGATGGATTAAACATGTCTATGAAAAGTTTTATGCACAAAATATTGTTTGAACATGGCCCCAGATAGCCTCAACTGGTTTGAAAAGTTGTGTAATTTTATATGAATTTGGTTAAATATACTTACCATGAAATTACATTTATATTAATAAATGTAATTTCATGGTAAGTATATTCAACCCTATAAATTCATATAAAATCTCTTCTTGAGATTTCAAAAATAACCATTTTAGAACTTATCCTGATAGGAATAAATAGCGATAATGTGTAATACAGATCATTTTGCTAAAGTTTCTGTCTTTCTATTATAGTTTTCAAGATAATATGTGAAAACTCTAAATTATGTCAAAACACTTGTCATGTAAAGGCAACAGCTACTTGTAATATAGTTGTCTGATGGTTTTGGTAACATTGAAATTTTTGTAGATCTATATATTAATTGTGTTATTTTTGCTGTTAACTGTGTGTAATTATTCAATTTTCTACATAATAAGCAAAACCACTACAATAAGTCAAATATGCCATTTCTGGGCAATAATAATCCATTCAGGAGAGGTCAAAAAGGCTTTTTTTTGTAGATATTGTATAGCTGTTCATTTTAATATTACAGTTTCTGCACGTGTATAACTATATTTTCAAGATAATAGGCAAAAACTAGAGGCTCTAAAGAGCCTGTGTCGCTCACCTTGGTCTATGTGCATATCAAACAAAGGACACTCTCCAACACTGTAGACGAGAATAGATTTCATAACAAAAATCTCTATTTTGTTGATCTTGTATTACTGATCTTTTAGTCTGTTTAGTTTCTCTCTTTCTTCTTTAGTTTTTGCTCAAAACATAAAAGTGGGTAAAAAAAATTCCTCATTTAAGGGCAATCACTCCTGTGAAGAGTTGACAGTTTACTAACTATATCGGCAAAATTTGACTTTTTAATAGATCTTCCCTTGCTGATCATTTTTGTGATTTAAAGTGTTTTTTTATCTTTTATTATTTAAATCATATAAGGCATAACGGAAAACAAATGTTTCTCTCTAAATATCATAGTTTTCATGGTAATAGGCAAAAATGAAAAAAAAAAATGGTAAAATTTGTCATTTATGGGCAATAACTCCTATAAGAATTTGTCTAACAGTTTTGATGTATATGGACAATTTTTAGAGCTCATTATTCTGAATGTTTTTTCTCCTTTCAGATTTTCTCTATTTAAAATATAGCGTTTCAAAAAATAATAGACAAAACTTGCATTTTACCCCTATGTTCTATTTTTAGCCATGTTGGTTGGTAGGCGGTGTTATCAGACACATTTTGTAAACTAGATACCCTAATGATGATTGTGGCCAAGTTTGGTTAAATTTGTCTCTGTAGTTTCCAGGAGAAGATTTTTGTAAAAAAAGATTACAAAAATTTACAAAAAAATTGTTAAAAATTTACTATAAAGGGCATTACTCCTTAAGGGGTCAATTGAACATTTTGGTCATGTTGACTTATTTGTAGATCTTACTTTGATGAATATTATTGCTCTTTACAGTTTATCTCTATCTATAATAATATTGAAGATAATAACCAAAAACTGAAAAATTTCCTTAAAATTACCAATTCAGGGGCAGTAACCCAACTACAGGTTGTCTGATTTGTCTGAAAATTTCAGGGCAGATAGATCTTAACCTGATGAACATTTTTACCCCTGTCATGTTGCTCTAAATGCTTTAGTTTCAGAGATATCAGCCAAAATCTGCATTTTACCCCTATGTTCTATCTTTAGCCATGTCGGCCATGTCGGCCATGTTGGTTGGAAGGCGGGGTCATCGGACACATTTTTTAAACAAGAAATGATTGTAACAGGATGCTGTTACAAAGTCTCCCAAACAAAGCTCCCATAATCGTCATTCCCAGGGTTGCCTGACATTGGGCAAAGTCCAGTGAAAATTGGTTTGGTCCA